AGTGTACGGCGGAGAACCCACCTCCTGGCTAGAGGGAGAAACGGAGGTGCTACAGTATGAGGCAATTGTGGTCGTGGTAGCTGAAACTGTAAGAACCGCTCCCAGGCCCAAACCTAACATACAAAGTTGACGTAATGTTTAAGATAAAGTCTAACTAGGTAGAGTTGGAATTGATGAACACTTTATTTGAATATATTGTCACCTGTAGAAGTGACATAAAACCACAAACATCTCTCTGAGTGCCCATGCTCGCCCGACATATCTGCCTATACATGTAGCCGAGAACAGCAGCACCCCAGCTGTAATAGGGTAACTCATCTAGCAGCTGAAGATGATGCAAAAATCTAAGGTTGACTAGGTTCCCCGAAGTGTTCGGGAACAAGACCCCTCCAAATAGAAGAAGCAACAACAACCTTGTATATGATAGAACCAAACCTATTGTTGTATTGAAAGTGGACAAAACAAAAGAAAGAAAAATCAAAAAGAGATGAAAATATGATGTAAGCGCTTACATCGACATTCTTGTGATGTAAGCGCTTACCTCAGCATTCTTATGATGTAAGCGCTTACATCAGCATTCTTATGATGTAAGCGCTTACCTCGGCAGGGCATTCAAATGTCTATAAATATGGGTCTACATTTTCATTTGTAGATCATCCCAAAACTTCTTCTTTCTTTCTTCAATTAATAAAGAGTTATTCTTTGTGTGGCCGTGGAGTAGGCAAAAATTGCCGAACCACGTAAATCTTGTCTTGTCTTGTCTTGTGCAATTTATTGTTTTTCTCTCCTAAATATCATTTTCCTTCTATTATCTTGACACGCTTCCTCAACACAGCCGAGGCTGAAACGTGACATGTCAGAGCTTGAGCTCGGATTATATCGAACCAAGGCGCGAAGCTAAATCTTTGAGCTCGTGACTCCAAGACCAAACAAGATCGAGAGAACTTTGTCGAGCCAAATAACGGAAGGCCGAAATATCTGGGGTCGGTTGGAGATCACGGCGGAATTCTCGGCACGTATTAAGGGGAGGCCGATTAATTAGCAAATCATGAGATTGGTTATCTTTTATAGAATTGTATCAAGAGTAGGACTCCCCTACTATATAAAGGGAGGTTTGATCATTTGTAACACACATTGTAATACGCAGCAAAAAGCAATACACTATTATTTCTAGCTCTTATCATCTTGTTATTCTATTCTAATATCAATTGAGGTATTTCTTGGCTCGAAGGTGATCAAACTTAAAAGTCAAGGCTGTTCAATTTGTGTGGTTTGCATTTATCTTCTTATCAGTAATTTCAACATTAATATGTTTTCTTGATTTGTATCAAGTTATATCACGTATCCTTAAAATCGCATATAAATTCAATTGTTATCCGATTTTGAGGGTAAACACTAGTATAGTAAGGTCGCAAAAATTCGTTTTACATGGCCGTTTCTGGATAAGATCATTGATATCGGTTGATGATAAAGGACCTATTTTGCTTAGATTATGAAACTATTTCTAGTTATATATGCAATTATATTGTACAATCAAGGACTCATAAATAATATTGTTACAAATATTACTACTCCTAATATTTAGCTGAAAATTGATCTTTTTCATAGAGTAACCAAAAGTATTAAATATATAACCTTATATATGATTTTGAAAAAGACTTGTTTTGGAATCTATTACTTGCTGTTTTAGTATCTTTTGCCGGACGATGAATTCAGAGAAAATATCGTTAAGAAACATACTCTTACCTTCTAGTTATATACGTTTATGCAGATAGTACTACACTACATTGTGAATTTCTCTTGGTTCTTGCGCTCAACCAGCCATTTCTCATAGGTACCCATTTTTATTTTATTTTCTTGTTTCAGTTTCCAAAATATAATTTTCCGACCATTTATTCTGATTCTACTAGCAACTGAACTAATCTTAATTAATCTTGACCCCATTATTCTGTTTCTTTTTCAATCAAACTTCTTCGGAAAAATTTCACAGAGGATGTCTCGGGTGAAAAGAACATATATAGTAGGAGGTCGATCGGTCACAACATCCTGTCGGACTTATGAATATTATATTACGAAATTTATCAATGTGGACGAAATTTGTGACGGGTTTAATCTTTCGTCAAGAAGTATTTGCTAACATTATTATTTAGGACGGATTCAAGTGAACTCATTACTTTCGACTTGAAGTATATATATAAGTGTATGTATATAGAGGCGGACCTATATGGTGAGGTGAGGAGTCATGTGACCCCGTTAGTCTCGNTATATAGGACCCCCTTAAATGTTTTAAGTGTACCCCAGAAACAAAGAGGGGATGGGAGAAGTGGTTGCTTTGGGGCCTTAAATTTCCAACTTTGCTGGGGACGTATGTTCGAAACCCCCTTTAGCCCTTTAGCTTCTTTTTTTGCCTCCTTTCTTTTTTTACTCTTTGAGTACAATATAATTTATATTTAATAACAAATTGCTTTATCTTTTACTTTTATCTCTTTTTTTTTTAATTCAATTATAATTTAGTACTAATATATAATAGTTAACTTAATTAATATTTTAGTTCTTTGATTACAATATAATTTATATTTAATAGCAAATTATTTTTTTACTTTTATCTCTTTTTTTATATTTCATTTATAGTTTAATACTAATACACAATAGTCAACTTAATTAATTTTATTCCTTCTCTTCCCATAGCACTTATTTTGCGAAGAAATCTCTTTTTCTCATATATATATATATATATATATGTTCGGTGTTTTTTTTTCTTCTTTAGAATATTATCGCTGGTGATTAGTCCGTCGCGCTCAAATCCTGGGTCCGCCTCTGCATGTACATATGCAAAATAAAGAAATAACTAAATAAAATGACGCTAAATTCCGAATTCGCCTATGTATACTTGTGCCGCTTTTCTATTGCTGCATTGGCTTTTCTTTATCTCTTTTGTGTTGAAACTTTTTGAATTTAGCAGGCAAGGTAGTGAAGAATGGGGACTGAGGGTGATCAACAGACAAAGTCAGAAGGAGGAGAAGTAGGAATAAGGAGAAGAGTATGTTCATGCACAAAAGACGATTTTCTGCCCGAGGAATCATTTAAAAGCTGGGGAAATTACGCGAATGCGCTGATACAAACGCCAACAAGGCTAATAGACAGGATCCTAACACGTTCTGAAGAAGCGGAAGAGTTACAGGCAAAGTCACGGAGCCAGAATGAAATGAAGAAGACACTTACTTGGTGGGATTTGATATGGTTTGGAATGGGAGCTGTTATTGGAGCTGGAATATTTGTTCTCACAGGTCTTGAAGCTAATCAAGAAGCTGGCCCTGCTGTTGTTTTATCCTATGCTGTATCTGGGATCTCTGCATTGCTCTCTGTTTTTTGCTATACTGAGTTTGCTGTCGAGATTCCTGTAGCAGGTAAATGGATTTTTCCATATTATTTTGCAGTATCAGTGTAAAGAATTGCTACAAAATCAATCAGAGGCAGATTCAGGATTTATATTTGGTGGATTCAACAAGTAGGTTTTATAACTGAATCCGTTAATACTTCTGAAATGATGTGTCCAAAATTCAATTTGTCAAAATTTCAAAGACTTTTTCATATATACTCATACTCCTTGTCGAAAAGACGGGATTCAGTAAACTCATCAGGTATATACTCCATTCACCTCTGCAATCCGTGCATGTTAACCTGTTTACTTGTTTAGATAACTAATCCTTACACTTACCAATTATCTCTTATGTAACATGTACTATTCTTTACATGGCAGTGTTAATAGTTAATCTCTAAGTTAAGTCCTAATATTTCTTCTTTAAGTATCAGTAACGAAGTCCAATAATGATGTTTTAGGTGGTTCATTTGCTTACTTGAGGGTGGAGTTAGGTGACTTTGTTGCCTTCATTGCTGCTGGTAATATACTTCTTGAATATGTGATTGCTGGTGCTGCAGTAGCTCGTACGTGGACTTCCTATTTTGCAACTCTACTAAACTTCAACTCCAACAAATTCCTCATCAAGGTGAATGGTTTAGCAGACGGATACAACGAGCTAGATCCTATTGCTGTTGGTGTTTGCCTCATCATCTGTCTTATTGCAATTTATAGTACAAAAGGTTCATCTCGCCTCAATTATATCGCCACAATCATTCACATTTTCGTGATCTTTTTCATCATCATCTGTGGCCTAATAAAGTCAGATACCAAGAATTACACCCTTTTTGCACCATTTGGCGTTCGTGGGATTTTCAAAGCTTCTGCAGTTTTGTTCTTTGCATATGTTGGTTTTGATGCGGTTTCCACTACCATGGCCTTCGCTTTAGCTACTGTGTTTGTTATCTCCTCTATCTCTTTCCCTACTGACTTGACTATGTCACCATTTTCATTTCTTATACAAAAACCTATTGAGCTCCTGCCTGGATTTCCCCTCGATGCACCATCCGTATTAACTTTTAGCCATCTTCCACTTGGAAATTCCCACATGACTTTTGTAACCTTAAGTTTAGGAGTGAAATTTTCCATCCTAGCTAATAGATCTTGCCATTTGTGAGGTACCATGTCCATCCCAGGCTTTCTCACTCTCACTAATGCCTGTAGATTTGATGAAACTTGATAAATCACCCTGCTAGTTGTCACCCCCTCCCCATACTTCATACTATTTCTTCTTTTCCAAAGTTCCCAGACTACGCATGAGGGGAGTGCTTGCATTACTGGTTTTAATCTTAAGCACACATTTGCAGTCCAACATTTTGTGATTGCTTGGTGCAATGTAAGTCCTTCCACATCTATTCCTGCCTTCGATAGAAAATACTTTCAAATTGTCTTTGCAGTTTCTGATCTAAAAAACAAGTGCTGAAGAGATTCCTCGTCAGGCTGTACACAACACCAACATTTAGATGGCATGCAGTAACCTACCCTTTTCAAGAAATCATCTAAAGGTAGATTTGCTTTCCACTCTTTCCACATGAAAAATGCTATTTTAAAAGGCAGTCCCTTTACCCAAATCATTCTATAAGCTTTTCTTGGTTCGTCTCTTCTTCTCGTATACTCCCATGCTGACTTAACTCTGAAATATCCTGTTGTTTCCAGCATCCAAAAAGGCCTATCAAGAACCCTCATTGTTGAAGGTGGTTTGATTTTCTCCAGAATGTGTACTGCTAACTCTTCAGGAAGCACTTCAAAAAGCCTGTCCACATCCCACTCACCATCTAAGGTAACATCATGTACATTTTGTACATTTTCATCAATGTCAAAGTCCTGAGGCACAAAAAATATAGTGCCCCAAGACCTGTCCAGTTTTCATACCAAAATAGTGAGGATCCCATTTTTGCTTGCCAAAGGATTTGATGTTAAATCAGATCTCTGCATTCCAACATTTTTCTCCAGATGTGAGACCCCCTTTTCCACGGAACAATTACAGGATTTAATTTTTTACAGTATTTCTGACATACGAAAGAGCTCCATAGGCTTGGTTTTGTTCTGAAATTCCACCACAACTTGCTGAATAATGCCTTTGTTACATCATCCAGTGACCTGAAACCTATTCCTCCTTCCTCAACTGGCATGCATAAGGTATTCCATGAAGCCCAATGCCTACTAGTTCCTCCTACAGCGCTGCTCCAGAAAAACTGAGCAAACAATTTGTGCAACCTATTTATCACATACTTTGGAGGGTTTACAGCTGATAGTAAATGCATAGGCATGATTTGCAATACATGGGATATGAGAACTGCCCTGCCCCCTACTGATAATAACTTGCCCTGCCATGATTGCAGTTTGTCCATTACTTTAGTAATTAGGGGCTAATAAAATTCCAACTTTCTCCTTGCATAAAATATTGGACAACCTAAAAATATGATAGGGAAATCATTCCTATGAATGCCTGTGATCCTTTCCACCTTGCTGACCACTTCCATGACTGTTAAATGATGCAGGTACACAGCTAATTTGGTCTTGTTAACAAGCTGCCCAGATGCATTTTCATATGCCTTCAGCACTTGCATAATCAGCATCAGAGATGTTTCATCTGAGGATGAGAAAATAATCATGTCATCTGCATACGCCAAATGATTGATCTTTGGACTCCACTTTGGCATCCCAAATCCACAAAAATACAGGTTAGTATGTAGTGCATTGAGACCCCTAGATAATGCTTCTGCTGCCAGTATAAACAAAGTTGGAGATACAGGATCACCTTGTTTTATTCCCCTTGAGGACTTAAAGAACCCATGAGCTTGACCATTTATTAGAATATAATACCAATTGTTTGAAACTAATTCAAAGACAAACCCTATCAACCTTTCTGTGAATCCCAACTTTTCTCAGAACCTTGGTTAGGAATAGTCAAGATATTCTATCATAAGCTTTGGTCATATCTAGTTTCAGGATGACATTAGGTCTAGCCTTAGTTCTAAGTCTAATGTCAGTCACTATCTCCTGAGTTAGAAGGATGTTTTATACTATATTCCTTCCCTTAACAAAACCTGCCTGTTCCTCCGATATCAGACTTGGGAGAAATTTCACTAGCCTTTCATGTACCACCCTTGAAATAACCTTATTAGAAAACTTACTGAGGCTTATTGGTCTTAAATCAGAAAATGTGGTAACTTCTTTTTTCTTTGGTAGAAGAACTAGGTTTGTGTGTGTTACACACTTGGGTAGCTCATGACCATTGAAAAAATCCCTCACCATGTCGTATAGGTCATCGCCTATTAAGTCCCAACAAGAATGATAAAATTTTCCTGTCATACCATCTGGCCCCCCAGCACTATCACCATTAAGTCCAAGTACTGCCATTTTAACATCCTCTTTTGTTGGTTGCTTAATCAATTCTGCATTCTGCTCAGTGTTAATCAGATTAGGAACATGCTCTACGATATCAAATGATGCAGGAGTAGCTACTTCTGTGAACTGTTCCTCGTAGAATTTGATTGCCTCTTCTGCAATTTCTTGTTCTTCTTCAATCCAGGTTCCTCCACTGTTTTGAATTCTGTTAAGTTGAAGTCTCTTCCTCCTACCTCTCACTTGTGCGTGGAAGAACTTAGTATTCCTATCCCCTTCCTTGAACCAAGTCATGCCTGCCTTTTGTTGCCAATATTTCTCCTTTAGTGCCAGACATTTGATCAATTCTGCCTGAACCTTTTGTAATCTTTCCATGTTCATCCCTGTAGGATTTGCTTCAAATTCTGCTTCATGAACCATCACTACCTCTTTCATACTTGCTATCTTTTGGAAAATATCTCCAAATGTAGCCTTACTCCACAATGAAAAGGCCTTCTTTACTTTTTTAACTTGTGATTAAAAAGAATAAAAGGATTTGCACTGAATTCAGCATACCAATTCTCTTTCACCACATCTTTAAAAGTCGCATGTTCCACCCAAAAATTCAAGAACTTAAAATGTTTTTTATAGGTGGAGTCTCAATATCACACTTCAGATACATTGGACTATGATCAGAGCCAGTCTTTGACAAATGTTGCACCTCTATTCCTGGAAATGTTTGTTGGAACTCAACATTGGCCAAACATCTGTCTAGTCTTTTGAATATACAGTCTTCCTCTGCTCTCCCATTCCACCATGTAAATATGCTGCCTTTAAATCCAAGGTCGAATAGATTGCAAGTGTTGATGCAGTGTCGAAAATCATCAATTTCATTCAATGACACAAGTAACCCACCAAACTTCTCTTCTTCGTCCCATATTACATTGAAATCACCTCCTACAAGCCATGCTGCATCCATATCCCTTGCCATTGCATATAATGAATCCCACAATTCTATCATCTCAATTGCATCACATTTTGCGTATATCAATGTTAAGACGAACTCCACATGCGATTCAGTATGAAACAATCTTAGTGTTAATTGTTGCACCATATTGTACATAACAGTTACCTCAAATACCTCATCTATAAAAGCCTAGATCTTGTTGGAAACATTTGAAATTGCCTGTGCAAGTCCTATCTTGTTTCTGTACCTTTCCAGTTTTTTTGCTTGTTGCTTTGGCTCCATTAATCCTACAAAATTATAGTGATTTTGCCTATGCATTTTTGTCAACCTTTCAAAGGCATGATGTGTGTTGACTGACCTTATATTCCAAATGAGAGCATTCATCACTGATTGTTTGATTTAGTTAGCGTTCTCCTTGTGTGCATCCCAGCTTTTGGTGCTGCAATATTATCTTTTTGTTGCTTCTTCTTACCTTTTGCTGCTGATTTTGCCTTTTCCACTTGTGTAGGTGATAAGTCACCTTTCTTTGCAGCATTCATAAGGTGTTGGGTAGTTGATTCTTGATCCATGTCGTATCTTGTTTTACCAGGTTCTTCTCCCTCTTCATTGTCTTCCTTCCCTCCTGATGTAGCTCCAAATGCATTCTTTTTAGGGACCAAGGCTTTCTCTTCTCCTCTTTTTAATAGCTGCAACTGGTTTTTCTCCAATGTAATAGTAATATTTACTATTTCTATTTTTTGTTTTGGTTGTTTCTCCTTCTCTGTTTTGTTGTGTCCTTGTGGTTCTTCTTGTGATTTCTGAAGTTGATCATCTTCTGTTCCTCCAGGATCATTTACCTCTGGGCTTCTTCCTTCATAGTTACTAATTTCTGTGACTTCTGCTGTCTGAAAATTATTGATGTGCTCACCATTTTTTGATCCTTCCTTTATTAAATAATTACCAGTTGTATTGTCGTCATTGGGATGAATCTCTCCATTTACACTTTGCTCATCTTCTTCTTTG